GGGGGTAACATATTTGAAATCAGTTATGTTAATTTTCGTTAAGTTTTGTAGCATAGAACTTCTGTAAGTGTATAGACACTGGTGTATGTGGTGTCACGTTTCTATCGCTTTGTCAACACATGCAGAAGACTTGAGATCGATACCCGCGTGGGGAGAATTTGTATAGAGCATGCACGTTTTTCTGCTGAGATATTGTATCCCTCTCAGCCCTGGTTGGCCAAGACAGGCAGGGTTGAAGCTTGCCTTCTAAATGATCTAAGTTATGTCGACGGGGCTGTAAAACACCCACTTGCAAAAGAAAAAGAAGGAAAAAGAATATAACACAGAGACTTCCAAACGGTGCACACTTAAACGAAAAAAGTAAATCTCTACAATAGACATATTTCTGCATAAACATCAACGAACCACTGTCGGATTAAAGACTTCGCCCACATGTAATCCTGTAGCTCGGACAGGAAGCTTAGTTTTGGGTACCAGACATTACATTCTACTGAAATACGATCGTAAGCAAACGGGTTATTATTAACGAACTAAACCCAAGTTATTGCCCATAATCCTGCTCCTACGCACTGCATCACAAACCAAGTAAAGCAGCGCGTAAAGCGCAAGTGTTGCTTTATTCGTCCTTGAAATAATGGTGATGTGAAACGCTATAACTTTTCATCTAGAATCTATTTCAATGGAGTTCTGTCTCGCATATTCAAAATAAATGACAAATTGTTTTTCATAATTTATTTTGAACTAGGGCTGTTTTCGTATACACATTATTTTCGTTACAACGAAACAATGAATAATTATGTATTATGTTCTATTGGCTCGCTTCGGCATTTCTCTGAATTAGTTTATCTCTGACGAGATCGAAAAGAATTCTGTACTGGCCACGGGCAAATCGTGGCCGTTGGTTCTTCAACGTTTCAGTTTGTGTCGGGGAGAACACGGAGTTCAAACCAAAGCGCCTAGAGTCAATGTATGCCGGCTTTTAGCTAAGATTGAAGCACAACATATGCTAACCAACAAAAGTAACAATTTTCTGACTAAAAAACAACAACAAACAAACAAAACAAACAAACAAACAAAAAACAAAAAACAAAACAAAAAACAAATACAAAACAAAAAATCCCCCAACAAGCCGACAGACTAATCAAAGGACCAATCAATCTATAAATGAACAAAACGATCAACAAATCAAATAAATAAAGGAAGACCCAGTATGTCATCAGATCAGTCAATAATTATGAATCAAGCAAGCAAACGAGCAACTAACCAACCAACCAAGCAAGCAAGCAACCAAACCAACCTACTAACTAACCAACCAGCCAGCCAGTCGGCGAGCCAACCAACCAGCCAACCAACTAACCACTCGAACGACCAACCAACCTCAATAATTCACTCAATTAGTCCGACTTTTGTTATCATTTGGTCAATGCTACATGCATGTGGAATAGGAGGCAGGTAGATTCCTGCCAATGTACCTTTAAGGACAGTTCAATGTTCTCTCCTCCCCACAGTTCTAGATCAGTATCGTAAGTCCCAAGCTGGATGAAATAGTCCTTTCTGATAGCAAATAGGCCACCAGCCATTGTTGGAGATCTGAGGGGAATAATGTGCGAGAAGATTATACGAGGAAGAAATCTAGATGCTGGAGCTTGCAAGACGGCAAGTCATGTAAATTGTAATTTTAAACAAATCTAGCACGTGTTGTTGAAAGTACATCTCCACGCTAACGTGCTTTTCTGCAAACTCACCTAAAAGATAACGTGATTACAAAGATTGCCAATTCAGATAAAACTATTGTTTTAGTGTCTCCAGAAGTGCGTAATGGGTAAAGGAATGAAATTATTGGTATAAGAAAGATATTCAGTAAAACATTGGAGAAGTCAAAACATCAAATTTTGTCCAGTTGACTGGAAAAGACATATCGTTCTCTTTTAGATTTATACACCAGAGGGCAGTGCGTTCTTTTCATTTCTGAAACATTTATTATCTTTTTGACGAACAACAGGACGCAAAGTGAAATATATAGACATATTATACTGACTATTCTCTCACTCCTCTATTCAGGCTAAGACACGCCAAAATGAAAGAAAACAAAAATAAAGAAGGAAAAAACCATATAGGACTAGTCACATTCTTTCTTTCTTTTAAAGGAAAAAGGTAGTCATTTATTAATGATAACTCACTCTATGAGATCAGCGGCGGACTTCCGTTTGGCCTGCAGACGTGGGATGATGGGCGACCAGTCGAAGGAGAAAGACCGGAAGTCGAGAATGCCGATATTGTCGATAGCCGCCTGAATGGCAAACGTTTTGTGATCAATAACGTCAATCTCTGGCGTCACAGCCACCTTTGGGTGGTCAGCAATGGCTTTGAGAAGTGGCGGTAGCCAACCTGGGGAAACAGGAGAAGCGTTTGCTTTAACTCTTCGAGGACAGATCAGTTTACGCGCGGTGTCGCTCCGTCGTTTACAGTCACAAAATCTAGATATCTAAGTAATCTTAGTAAACGCGTTATTAATAATCAAATTTAAGGGTAATTATATTATGGAGCATTCATTTCTATTCGGCTTGGTGTTTAGTTTATGCAAAAAGGTAAAACAGGAACGAAGTTTATGGTAAGTTTGTGATGCTGAAAAATTGGATGACAAAATTGGCTGCAGTCACAGGTAGAATAGCCTTCCGTATAGATCTAGTAAGAGTTAAGATTCGTTAAAATGTTTGCTTAGTTATTTTAAATACATTAGCCAACCTTGAACGTTTGTTCGACTGTTTGAAATTGAGTTGTCCCATGACATGACTAAGCCAATCAATATGGAGATGCTGTTCTTGGTGTGAACTGTAAGACGACCATAGCAGTCACTTTTCGCAAATATCACATGAGGACAAGAGCAGTACTACAAAGAAGTTAAAAGAGCAGATCGTGTAAGTGCTCCCCTCACATCTTCCTGCTCACTTGAGCGAAATGTCACTGTTTTCCCGATGATTTACTCAAACATTCCTCTGCTGCTAAATAAACAACCCATTGTTTCCAAACGATTTTTCATGCTTCTCCTTGGTGCTGTCATTAGCTCTGTTTGTCATTATCACCATTGTTATAATTATTCTTTGCTTTTTCTTGTAATGTGAAAAACTAGCGTTTATTTTAACCACACTTCTTTCCTTTCCAAAATGTTTTGTGTCCTTTTCTCGTTCCCTTTCACCTGTGTATGTTTGTTCAGTAATTGAACTTCAGCTTCAGAGGGAGAAGACATCGACAACGTGACAGATACGTATCCTGGAAAACACATGACAACTGACAGAAGAATACAACCCCCCACCCCCCATCCCCCAAAAAACAAACAAACCATACAAACAACAAACAAACAAACAAAACAAAGCACAAAAAACAACCAACAAACAAAAAAACAACAACAGATGAACAAAACTAAAAACCAAGCAAATAAACAAAAAACTAAAAACAAACAAACCAGGAATAGTTTGGGCAAGTCGACAACTCGTTTCAACCCCACCCCCCACCCCCCGCGCCTTTTCCCCAGGTCCTTTCATGTGTACCTTTCCCTTCTTCCGATTATCATTATTGTGGTAAGAAACTTCATTACACATAGAGAGGGCTAATCAGGGTAATCTCCAAAAACAGTTTGTAGTAAAACCATTCCTCTATTGGATAAATGCATATTCTCATATACTCTGTGACTTAACATTAACAGAAAAAACGAATCCCCACTCACGCTCACTGGTTGCTTGATTTAGAAAACAGGAAAAAAGCCGTTTCCATAAAGCTGTGTGATTAAGTGTTATGATTGAGAAAATTAAAGTCCCTATCCACAAATTCATATTACCCATGAGATGGCCTGCTTCAGCTTAACATGTCAAGACCAACTCGGGTCGAGTGGGGTACAGAATCCTTCAAGAAAGGCGGAGTTACTTGAAAAAAAAACCCCAAACAGACTACCTTAGATTAAGTTAGATGCGAATCCAACTCCCGTCTCTTGAGGTCAATGGCTAAGAACCAAGTAAGTTATCACTGCAACATTTGGGAAGCTCACTACATTTGCCTTACCTGTTGCACATTCCACGTGGGAGTCCAGAAATATCAGGACCGGAGCTTTTGCTCTTCGAACCCCAGCCAGTCGCGCCCGGACAAGACCCGAGCGTTTGGTCATGCGCAGTAGTCGAATCTTTGCCACCTGGGCTACGTAGAATTCCAACGGTTTGTGCATCGTCACTGTGAAAAGAGGTCATTAAGGTATGTTAGTGAATAGCACTAGAAAAGTGAGAGATTTGGAATATTTTACTAGAGGAATCCATGGAAAAGAACAATGACCTTTCCTTTAAATTACGACATTTTGGATTCTTGTATATGTGAAAATCTTTTTTCTAAATGATTGAGAAACAAAAGAAACCCACCAGAGTTCTAGCCTCCAGCCATCTTGTGTTGGTAAAGATCGCCACATAACAGCGCTACATCTGTAAACACATCGTTTACTGTGATTTCTACACCTAGGATTCCAGAAATGAACGAAAAAGTAATCCTTTCCTTTTTCATTGTAGTCATTTTTCTCTACTTTTTGTTGTTTCTAATGCATGGACTTGGAAAAAATGGGTTGATTTTCTTCACGCCAGTCAATCATGTACATGATTATCCTCACTATAGCCTGTCACGTAATAATAGATAGCATTTGTACAGCGTGAATTCCCGCTCAACAGCAAGCTCTATACGCTTTGCAATCTATATAATTATCCCAGCAGACCTGAAAGCATTCTGAAAGAATCTCAACTTCCTGGGAAGTATACAGTACAAGCTGCCATTTTATAGGAACGAAAACACTAACACACTGACAAGATCTTTCACTGTATATGGCCGGGTTCCCATTCCCCCCTGGGCTAGGCGATCATAAATCAGGCAGCGCAGCCCAAGAACTACACACCTTGCTTGTGGGCTGACACACCGGCCGCT